GGGAGATAAAGATATATCGTGCTATTCTTAGTGAGATTTCAGCCTTTCTTGGTAATGGAACAAAAAAAAATCTGCAAAAACAAAACCCAGTTTAGCTGTGAAATCCTACACATTAGGCTACTAAACCAAAATGTATCAAAGCATAAATATTGTGCTGCAGCGACTTCATCTGTTGTATGTATTTATATTTGTATATACAGTATGTGTGTATGTATATATGTGTTTCCCCTTGTACCTGTTCCCATTAACTTGCTGTTATAATGATATGATTTTGGCTTTGGATTTTTCTACAATTCTTACAACAATCAATAAAGAATAAAATGTTAATGCCCCGGCAGTGGTAATTTGCCTTGGTTGTATGGTTTCAGGTCATGTGACCCCTGCAGCAGTCCCTGGGCCCCATAAGATGGGTGATGACCCCCATCCCAACTCAGCGCTGATCAATGTGTGTGTATGTGCAAGTGAGCAATGGACCGTTAAAATAATCATGATATTAGAAAGAAATGAATAAATGCACGTCTGCGTTATTTAATAAATACTTTAACGCAAAAACAACGCTTTAATTTGCTCAGGCCTAACGTATATATGTGTAGATTTCTAAAACGTCAACCCTAAGACTACTGGTTCACTCTGGGAGACAGAACTTGTAAACAGCTTGTAATTATTTTAAAACTCCCTGTTGACATGACTTGCCTGTAGCTGGACTTAATCGTACAATTTGTGCAAAGCCAATTTTAATCCTTTTGAACTTTTTGCTAAAAGTCACCCTCTGTGAAAGTGCAACAGGATCAGATGGGGTACCCATGTGGTGGGATTTTCTTGGATAATTGTGGAAAAGGGAACAATATGTTGTCTCTTGGGGACTGTCTGGACCGTTTGTACCCTATCGTCCAGTATAGCTAATGTCAATTATCTGTGACAGGTACAAAAAAGACTTAAAGGCATAGTTTCCTCCATTAGTACCTTTTCACTTATGGCTTTTCCATTCTGGTCGCATGTATAACTCCCTGGCTGGTTATATATAAGTGTTTTTATGATGCAAATCGAATAACGACGTCCTTCTTTTTGTCCTTTTGTTTTATTACAGAGTGCACTGCGTCTGTCCTGGTTCCATTTGCGCCTGGGATTTTGAATATTTATGTAAATAGAAATATTCATGAGCATATGCTGTACGAGTATGTTTCAGTCTGTTTAAACATTGTGTATCACTGAACAAGCCACTTAGGGAAGTCATAAAGTTTGTTACTGCCCATTAACCTCCGCTTTCTGTCTCACTTTGAGGGACAACGTACATCTCACGACATTTAAGGCCTCTGTCCTGCTTCTCTCACAATATTGCAAATAACCAAACATGTTGTTGTGACTATATTCTGATGGGTGCTAGACGCCCAAAACAACGTCATATAAGCATTAATAAGGCAGTAAATGTTTGTCCGTAGGCAGTCCGTGGTTTTATGTACAGATACAAACACAGTTTAATCTGGTCTCCATTCAAACATGAGGTAGCATTGAGCTCCGTGTGCAGCAAAAGAAAAAACATTCTGAAAGTCAGTGATAATAAGAGGAGAATCTAAATGCAAATAGGCCTTCTTACCTTGCCTCACATAATTAGAAATAATATAATAAATGTTTTCAATAAATTATTTTGTTATCAAGTTAAAACCGTAAGTAATTTATCCCAAGTAAATGTATGTTGGTCTATTTACTGTTAAAACTGCTTCACAAATAATACAGTTTATTGTGGTCCTTCTCTTCCAAACAGATACAGATATTGTGAGAGATTGAGAGAACTGGAATGATTAAGTGAGAGAAAGTAAGAGGGGAGAAAATTGTGATGCATGGAAAGCAGAGCAAGCCGCTCCCATCCTCGTGAAGAGGATAATCGGTGGCTGACCCTCCGACGTCCGTCATCCTCTGCTGAATAATGGGGTGTAACTAACACTGTTCCAGAGCGCAGGCACCTGCTGCATCACGTGCACATTTGGGCCTCACTGTACTCTACGGATGACCCTCCAAACACACACCCACACACACATTCTGATACACACACACACACACACACACATTAAAACCTGTAACCCTGAGTCTTATTGGTATGAGTGGAACCCACTGAGTGGAGTCGTCACTCACTAATGTGTGTAATTATGGCTCTTTGATCAGGCTGCATTGAGCACTCAATAAGTACACAGAGTAGCAACAAGAGAGGTGTGTGAGGCGTTTGTTTTGTGTGTGTGATGAGTGGGTGCATGCATGCATTTACCGATGCTTTTTTTTTTCTGGTTCATGACGCTCAGAGCAGAAAGTTAACTCGTTAGAACGAGGAAAATATTGAGTTCCTCAAGGGTTAATAAATATTGACTGTTATAGTGTTTATTTGCCTTCTATTTGCATAACTGGTCAAACAAGGACATACTGTATTACACGGGTAGGTATATTTGTACCCTTGGGTGTTGGCATCAAACAGCAACAATTTCAATGTACATCAACTATTTTGCACCAATGTGCCAAAATCGGCCTAAAGCAGTCAAACGATGACAGGTTTGCATCATTGCAATTAGTCAAACGGAAAGAAATTGTCCAATCACTATAATTCCACTGCCATAAATGCAAAACTAAAAAACCTCAGCTGACTCCTGACAGTGTAACCGGCTCTAAAGGAAGAAAAACACCAAGCGCACAAACATTGACACGTTAGTTCCCTGTTTAAAGCAAAAATACGTGCTGACGTTCAGCACTCTTGCATTAGTGGCAGCAGTCTATAATGTGCATCATATACTATATAAAGTTTGTTCATTTATTTAAAAAAAATATGAACACAGATGGCTTCTATGTTTTGCATGGATACAATGTTAAAGGAATGTATTATATATTTTTCAAGCTAACAGAACCCTGGATTTATCCTCTGCTACCATCATTAAGTCAACTGAGTCCCCTCAGGTATATTTGGTGTCTTTTAATTATTTGTTTAGCTGGCATGCTACCACGTTCAGCGAAGATGGCGGCAAAGGAAAACATTAACAGACCAAAAAATACTGGGTTTGAAACATGCAACTGGGTTTGAAAGTAATAAAATAAAAAAGTAGGTAAAATAGTCCTCCAGCGAAAGAAAATAACATTGAAGTATAAATGAAAAACCTACCTGGAGACACAACAACAGATAGTAATATAAGATAAGCAGCATAAGTCTATGACCATAATTCAAATTTCAGAATTACAAAGCCACAAATATGTATGAAAAAGAGCCAGAGAAGATACTGTTTGCCTTATCGGTGTGGCTAAAAATGCTGCATAATATACAATGTGCGGAGCTGGGCTATAAACGCTTTGGACAAGAGGAGAGATCACGTTCACTGTGTTACAAATATCATATATTTTCTTTTTGTGCATACTGCCCTTAAATATTATTATTATTAATGTGTTATGCATTTATTAGAGGTACAAACCTTTTTCATAATATGACACATTTGAGCCTCTGATCATTTGATCATCCTGAATTTGATCCTCTTATATGTATCAATGCATATATATACATATATATATCTGCTGTGCAAAGGGTTGTGACTCAAAATAGCAAGAAAAGCATACTGCACCAACTGTGACCAGGTGCAGTAGGACATTCTTGTATTTTTGGCATATTGCATTGTACGTAGCAAGCTATGCATTGGGATGTATTGAATCTATTTCTGGCTTACTAAATAGTAGTTTGTGTAATGTGGCGCAGAGGCGGTTAATTTCTGTACGAGACGCCGTGTAACCTTATCAAAGAAATTATATGTGGTTTTCAAGTCCACCATTCAAAAGACTGCAGAGTACAGATGATGTGTTAGCAAGTTTTCTACAATAAATATAAAACCTTCGCTAATAACCTCTTTGCCTTTTCAGTTAGAATTACAATCATATTTCGGTTGGTTCATGTGATTCTTTTGAAGCGTCAAGGTTTTGACTTTTTCATTGACCAGCAGTCAGGCAGAAAATTAACAAACCTGCATACAACATCTCCCACGTTAACATTTAGGCTCAGTTAAATCAGGTAAATTTGGAAGGTAGCCTTTTAGCAATGTCACTTCCGTATCACAACAGTGACCAAACAATCGGCCTGGTCTTCCTGTGACTTCACCAAAGTCCCAGCGGGCTCAGATCATTATTAGACCGATAATTGAACAGACTAGCGAGGCTATTATTGGTGCAAATGCTTCTAGAGCAATCTCACATCTCTTCCATCACACAGCAGTAATGAGTCACTTTGACGGTTTGGTTAGGTTACCACCTCCAAACACCTTGACTTTCAGTATTAGAAGATGACTCACAAACGGCTAAAAGAGAAAGCGTGACAGATTTCTAATGGTGGAAACTGATGCTCTCATTACTGGTGCTCCGTGTGGTCGTGCTGTGGAGAGAAGACACAGTAGAGTGATTTGGCCACTCAAGACGTTTTTGAAAAGATGAAACAACAAAGGACACATTTTATAGGAATGTGTATTTTCCTTTAGTGGTAGCAGATATCTTTTCAATTTTGCTCATAGATTCAGGTTTCCTTCTGGTTAACACTTCACCCCCAATTTAGCATTTCTAAGCCGTATATTTATAAAATTGTTAATAACTCTGTATGTTGTCCAGGACAATAGTTTAATAATGTATTTGTTTAATCCAGTAATACTATTTAACTCTTATGAAGCATTCTGTCTGGAGGGATGGGTTGCAGTTTTTGACAGTGGAATTCATAAACTACAAGAATAGCATGTCTTATATTTAAACTCCAGTAATAATGTGTAATAATGCGTTTCTTGTTGGGTTGTTGTGGGTTGACATAAATATTTACTGTAAATATTCAGATTAAGTGAATACCCAAAATCAGGCACAGCGAGGATAAAAGCAATACTGCCTCCATCTGCTGCAGGACGGAAAGCACTGCAGTCGTCTACAGGTGAATTCAAACAGACGTTCTCATTTTAACAGGGGCCAGAATGTGACATAAGAAGAGGTCCAGCTTTGAAAACATGTATGTGACACTGCTTTTATTCTGAAGTCACAGAGACGGAGATGGAGATTATTGAAGAGGGTGACAGGGATAGAAAACAAAGCAGGAATGTAGCTACATACGCAGTTCTTCAAAGGTGTTTTATCAAACTGTTCTGTATCAAATGTTGTTCACATCCATCGCTGCGACTCGTGTTGTCAATCAGGTTAGCAGTTGTCATGATTATATCTAAAAGGCAAACGTTGATTTTGATTGGAGTCACATTTAGATCTGCTTGTTTTAGTGAGATGCTCCAGATGTTTTCTCATGTTCCTTGGTCTGCTTGGCCAGAGACTGCAAGGCAGTAAAGAAGGTATGCGGTTTCTCGATGGCCTCCAGTTCAGACTGGCCACAGAAGAAAGGAGGGCTGTAGTCCATCGGGTTTGTGTTGCCAAAGACCCAGTTGTAGGTGCTGAAATGTAAACAAAAGTGTACTTTTTGATAATCATTACTCACTTTTAACTGTGTGACTGAGGTTCAGGCCAGAAATACCGTGGTAACAGTATTAAAAATAGTGGCCAATCACACCCGGGCTGAATTCGCCTGAATCAAATACTGTTAACATCTGAAAATGTTTTTTTTTTTTACTGTGAAATGGTATTTTTATGCAATTTGGCAGGAAGAGTAAAACTTTTTCTGAGAATGTTAAAAAGCTGGGAATTTCTGGGACCTGCTGATACACAATACAGTATTTGATAATAACTTTAAAATAAGCTGCCCCATATAAATAAACACCTTTAAACCCATCTGTTTTATTTAGCTTTTGTTAGTTCTCTGGGCACTTGATTTTAAAGGGTTATGCACTGCATTTTTATCTGATTGTAATAGTCATGTCTCTGTAAAGCACTTTTGTCAACAGTCTTATAAATGTGTGCCTTTGCACCCTTGTAATTTCATATTGCATTACTTTCATGCTGAGTGTTGACAGATAAGTAGGAAATAGAAGTAGAAATATGAATAGTATCATCGTTAGAGTGGTGATGTTGGTTATTTCTCTATGTTTCTCAGCTCCTGAGGTTTGGTGATCTCAGCTTCTCACCTGAGCGCGACCCATCCAGACGCTGGAGTGTAGATGGACCAGGTCACAGGGACGCAGCCGATCTCAGTGAAGACAGCCGAGTACTGGCCTGATGACATGAAGCATAAGTCACACGTGTCCAACAATATTCCGTTTTGTTTTATTACATACATTATCCCTTACTCGGCCCAAGCACCTTCAAAAGTATCTTTCAACATTCTCGTGGGCACCAAAACTGTCACGTGTAGCAGAACAGTGTCTGCAGACTAGCCGCTTTTTTACACCCAGGAAAAGGGCAAGCAAGGATTCATCAGTGAGGGTAGAAGAATCCCTAACTAAATAAGTTTAAATATATCACAACTGGAGTCACAGGAGGAAAGGACTGGCTGAATTTGGTGAACAACGAGGCATTGAGGAGGGCAGATTCCGGGAGCCGACGGTTCCAGGAGAAACCTGTTCTGCAACGACCTGAACCTGCTCGGACTGAACTGCACTGCCCACCAACGGACCTTCAAAACGTGAATTGAACTGTATTCATTCAGATTGAAAGGCCTCACCAACACCCCGCCTTCCCAACTCACACACTCTGGCACACTTACACCCCCCCACCCCGCCTGACTCAAGCCCCTCAGCATGTCTCTGGAGTCACCACTTTGGTAATTTACTTTGATTAAGGACATTTGATTTCCGTATGTAAGTCTGTATTTGTGTTTGTTTGGTCCCTGTGCAACATATATTTTACAGATTTTATGCTGTATATTGGGGGGGACAGATTGGTATTTTCTCAATATTGGGGGGGACACGACCCCCCCAAAGAATGCGTGGTTACCTCCTTGTCTCCTGCATTTTTGTAGCTGTGTCAGCAGGCTATCCGGGTAGATGGAATTGAGATGCTCCAGTTTGATGCGGGCAAGACAACTAACAAGTGCTCCTAAGTTGCGGGTTACTGGGTGTTCAGTGGTAGCGTGAATGAATTGTAAGTCACAAGACAGATATAGAAACACATTAACACTAAGTATCAAACTAACTGCATGGCTTCATAGCAAAAAAGACCATTCTAAATGCTAATTAGGTGAACTAGAACTACAAAAACAAATTTTGAGTCATTTTTCCTCAAATTTGTGATTTTATTACAAGTGAGAGTAAATACCAGAGTTGAGAGGAATCATTCTGTTTCAACCTTTTACCATATAAGTGTGTCGGTGACAAAAAACAGATTTCTTTGTTTAAAATATAATGTGTCTCATACCGTTCTGTGGCAGTTCTCCATACCAGGTGTTGGTCAGCACACCCGCTCCCCAGTAGGAAGAGGAGCCCATGAAGACCTGACCCATCAGTTTGGCATCCGAAGGAACCTGCATGGGAATGAAGGTGGTATCCAGTGCTTTCTTCTTGCAAGATAATTTGCTCCAGTCGATCTCGTAGTAGACTTTCTGAAAGGACAGAAAAAGCAATAGATGCTGTCCTATACTGAGTAGACTTTGAAAAAAAGAGATTGATGGACAGCAATAGTTCCTTAAAGCTTAATTATTTACTTTCCATTTTAAAAGGGGTTTTTATTCATCAATGCCGTTGTCAATTGGTAGTGACGAGTAAACAACTTTCAGTTCTGAAATGTGTTTCAAACATGTGACAACCGGCTTGGTCAAGGCTCGCATTTAGGAGGTTTATTTGAAGTTTGGGAAGATAACATGAAATGGAGTCACTCATTGTTTGTTTAGTAGCAACTAAATATGGTGAGAAATTAACCAAATATGTAAATCGAGGCGTGTAAATAACAAGACGACGTTACCCTCATTTAACCTCATGTTATTTGTGATATTTCATTATTTTATTCACTTTAGTGAGAAACTCAATATAACTTACCAGCAAGCGATGCCTTTTTCCACAATCAACACTAATGTTTTAACAAAGTCTTGATTGCCATAACACTATCATAGAGCTAAAATAATGCTAACGAGATTCAAAGCAAAAAGCACACAGCACATGGTTGAAAAAAATTATATCTTATTTGTCACAATCAAATCAAATGTGTATCAAATTTGGAGCACAAAACTGTTATGGTGATGATGGTTCTATGTACAGCTAAATGTAAATAGTATTTATGAAACGTGGTTGCATAATGTGGGAGGGAATACTGAATTAATTCACTACATCTATACTCTTTCTTGACGTTAGAGAAATTCTGAACGTAGCTTTAAAAATGTGAGTACAAACCAATATTTACATCGACAATATTGCAATTGGCGTGATTAGTTGTGCTGATCCCGCGAGAATACAAGGACATACAGAGACATTGTTGGCTCACCAGTTTATCCGTTGCATTTAGTCAGGTCTCGGTAACTAAAAGCCCCGTAAGAATGCACTGTGTGTGTGCAGATCACAACAAATCTTGAAAAGTATTGGAAAAACAGTTTACCAGGTTTCATACCTCATTAAACAGGATCAGCAGGTCCATCTTAAAAGTCTGATTGCCGACCAGCGGAATGTTTCTAACCCGCATCCTCTGACCGAGGGCATCATAGCTCACAGCTCCTGTGGAGACATAGAGTCCGCCGGCATCCATCTGAAAGAGAATCAAGAGCAGGAAGTGACGGGAAAGACAGGGGGGACTTGACAAGGGTCAATCCAGGGGATTACATGCGAGCAGACTCACCAGGGTGAAGCTTCCAGTCATCAGTTCTGGAGAAACTGTGGAAGAAGAAATCAAATTGTTAAAAAAGTCGTCTCTCTCAGCGATCCGAGGGGCTTTTAACGATTACTGGGGAAATAACCTCTGTGTTGCAGTCACTTTTCAACCCGGCCTGCCTAGGAGAGATTTGTCTTGCCTCCGTCAATTAATGTGAAATTGATTGTAATATTTTGATGGATGCAGATGTATAACTTTTCCTGTCTAATTTTGCTAATAAATACCACATTTTTTCGTTTAGGTAACCCAAACAGTTCAGACATAAAGAAAGTAATCGCATCAACACGGTTTGAATGTGTTATAATCTCTTGTCAGACTAAATGAACTGAAAGGAACTAAATTAAAGAAATAATGTGTAAGAGATATGTACATTTTTCCGATTCAATTTAACTGCAAAGAACTACAATCAAGCCATTCACAAATAAGGTAAAATAACAACAACAAAAAACATTAACAGTGGATCCACAGCTGTTCCTTGTTTTTTCCAGTGTTATTAAATAGACGCAAACACCATCGTTTTGATGGTGATGTATGAAATTTAAATGCCATTTTTTGTTTTCCGATCCCACAAGATTGTCCATACTGACCACAGGGTTTTGGCGCCTGGGCGGCGGCACTGGTCAGTGCCAGGCAGAGGCAGGACAGCACACTGAGGAGGTTCATGTTGCAATTTCGGATCCAGACGAGGTGAATCTTCGAGCGCTTTGGTCTTGGGGGAGGACACACACCTCCATATATACCGGTACCTGCTCAAAGCTGGTCCCTCTCACGCCATGTGGCTCATCCCCCTCCGCCCCCCAAAGGAAAAATATGGTCAACTAGTTAACACCCCTCCTATTTAGAAGCTGGTGCAACATATGACCATTGATAAGATTAGGAAACGCATCACATGTTTTTATGTCCATGCACCAAGATCACCAGATATTATGGAACTACTTTGTTTGTTTGATGCTGTATATTGAAATTGTGATCCTGAATGTGCCTTTGCCATTATTAGTTCTGGCCAAAAGCTACATCATATTCCATATGTTATAAAACTTTTACAAAAATACAGTATATCAAATGCCATACTGGCTGTTTACATGTACACAGCAAATACGTTTCAGTGTTTACATTCATGCACCACATTAATTCTACATCTTTATTCTTTTGTTTCACTTCTTCAATGTCTGTGTTTTTCTGGCCAGCAGATTCAGTGCCTCATAGGTATATTTAGCTGCAGTTCAATGACAACATCCAGATAATCAGTCCAAAGTTCCTCTGTTTTGAATGCAGGTGTAAATATTCCCACAGATTAAGGAATAGCACCGTCTGCTTTTTTTTGGTATCCCTCAACGCTGAATTAACCTTGTTAAATATCAGTGAATGCGACAGAGCACCAACCTCGCATTGTACTACATCTGATTTTAAAATATTCATTTCCATCTTGTTTTGTAACTGCAAAAAAGCTTCCACTGCAGAACAAATAAAGCATTGTTTCTGGATTTGTTTTACAGTAATCCTATAGAGAAAGACTCATGCAAGTGTTGCATGAAGGCATTTCATCTACTCTAAATTGCTTCCAATCCAGAGCCTCTGCCTGCTGTAAAAATACAATGAGTTAGCCCTGATCATGTGAAAGTTGTTAAGATGTAGTCAAAAAAAATTGAGTCATAGTCAGGTGCACCACCCTTATCTACGGGTTCAGAGAGTCACTTATACAACTGCCCTCCACTTCAGTCAAGAATTATGATCAAGTCAAAAGGGCAATTAAATGAAATGGCTAACAATGGGTCTAAAAATGTTATATTCATAGTAATCATTCTCGAGATTTACAAATTATTTCAAATCAAAGTCTTTTGTGGTTTGTTTGATTTTGTCATTTTCCTTTTAGGTGTAGGAGAGAAAAAAACACCTGACCCACAATTGAGTACCTGATTACCGTTACTTTTCTGTGTGTGGTTTTAGGTTGAGGTTAGTAAAACTCTTCGGGTAATGGTTCCAATGGGTGACCAGTAGTAAATAGATTGTGGCACCGTAAAGTTGAGAACATATTTTTGTGGCTTCACATTAAAATGACTCCAATGTGTGGTGCTGCCTGGAAAAACACCTGTTGGCACGGATCTTGCAGTAATGATGGAAAGTTTTGCATCAGAGCCCAGTTAAAACTCTTTAATAGGTCAAAGGAAACGGTTATTTGAGATAAGGGACCCTGCATGACATGAGGCATGTGGTTAGGTTCTTCTAATGGAAATAAATGCAGGTGACTGCAGATAATGATCATAAAGTCCGTGTGCTGTGTCCTTATCTAAAGACTGAGGTTATAAACAACACAGTCCATATCGTAATGTAGCAGGTCTCACATTAGTCTCTCTGAACAGGTTTTATTTCACTAATTTATTGATCTGAAAGGAGCATTTCTTTGGGAGTGGAGCGGCTCCATGGTTTTGTGTTGGTCCACAACTTTGGTTTGAGACTGAAATAACTCAACCATTAGATGGCTTATTGTGACATTTTACAATAGTGTGCAGGAGCAGACGTCAAAATTAAATCTCATTAAATAACTAAACTCACATTCATGAGCAAATTCAGCTCTATTTTCACGCTAGATTGAAAAGGTCCGTAGTTATAAAGTAATTCCACCAGTTAGCGGGTTACCAGTAGATAACCTCAAGGTGTCACACGGTCACAATCAGGACATTCAAAAGGAAATAATGTGTAAATTGAGATAAATTATCTCGAGCAAGTGGTTTGAAGACCGCATGAAGGAGATTTTGATCATAGGATGCTCAATGCTTGCCTGTCAGGACAACAGACGCTGCAATGAAAGCATACGTACTCAAATGAAATGCTGTGTGGATTAAGAACATGACTCACCGTATTCAGGATGGAGGGACTTTGTTCTACTCTTTTCTTTCTCTACTTTCTACTACTACTCAGATTTTGCTGCACACCCTCCGTATTGACAAACGATCAGTAACTTTGTCGCTGTGAGCATATTAGCACGTTGACATTAGCATTTAGCGTGACGCAAAATGTGATCACAGAAACATTTTTGGGATATTTGCAAGAATGAGGAATATGAGAAAAATGTTTGAAAAAAAAAAAAAAATAGCACAAAACTTACTGCACATTTTTTTATTTAGTCAATATGTATAATAAATTATCATTTGTTTTTCCCTTTTCCCTCAACGTTCCAAGGTTGTCTGAAGGAAAACGTTAAATATTTCAGTGCAAAACAGCTAAAGCAAAGTTAATTAAAATAAAATATCCTCCCACTCCAAAATTAAAAACCAGAAAATCAGTAAACACATAAATTAAACTGAAAACATTTTAAGAGAAGAAAACCATTCTATGTTCAGGTGTAGGTTCCATTGTTTTGCAGCAAAGCGTCAACTTAAAAAGCTCCACCTCATATACATATATGAATATCAACATTGAGTATATTATCATATACTCTAGTTACAATCTAGGCAAGGTCCATGTTACTCAAGTGTTAATAGATAGGTGAAGTTATGGAGTACTCAGGGTTTCTGCGTAGTATCAGACAATCACTCGATGGCTCCATGTAGGTTTTTTTTTATCCCAGTTCGGTCTCATTCGCAATGTCACACTCCCCATGTTGTTCACTCTGCGCAGAGACCTGGAGCCAGAGGCCGGCCCACGCAGGGCTGCGAAGTACTGCCAGTGAAATGAGGGCTCACGGAGTAGTGAGCGGATCAAACATCGGTTGAAAAGGCAACGTCTTTATCCGGCATCATCTCAAACATGACAGCGAGACTCTACATTTCAAACACGAACACGCATCCACTCAAAGAAACCATCTCATTCATCCTTAAATTTCTTTACAAATTTATCCTCATACGGTGTTCAGTTCAGTCTCCTCACAGTGCATCAAGCGCCCTCTACTCTATTTGGAGTGAACTTTGAGAATATATTTGATTAAAATAAAACTTCACGGGTCCATCTCTCTTCATCCGTGCCCCACTTTTATCTCCTTACTTCATTTAAAGTCTAACTAAAGTCCCCTAATTTGAATTGATCCTCGTTCTGCTCTAATCATTCAACATGAGCATATACTCCACCCACAGCGTCACCTCCCTCCACACTAATTTGGACACCTTTTTCTAACAACAACGCTATTGTGTGCATATTTTACTTTTCTCTTCGGTGTCCTTGTATCATTTCAACAGATCACAGCAAACAGTCATCCTAACACAGGCAAAATATACAAAGTCATCTGAACACGCAGACAAGAAATGAAAGGACCTCGTAATACGTTAAATTCTCGATAACGACTTTGAAGTGACAATGTACCGACATTAGACACAAACAGACGGGGGTCTTTATGGCCATTTATAACTGAGAAACAAGGGAAAGATGATTGAATTGGAAGTTTTAAGTGCCCCGGTTTTGTAGTGTTTGTTACTGTGTGAGTCCCTGTTTTTGGCAGGTTTAGGAGTTGGCAGGCAGGGATTCTGGTTATGGGTTTAGTGCTAAAGTGATATGAGAAAGCGCTGGGCGGGGAAGACTGTTCTTTTCAGGGCCGGACCTATTCATTAGGTATCATATGACGTTAGAGTCAAAATGTGAACAGATGAAGCCAATGTGAGAGCAAAGTGGAAGCCACTTGATCTAAAGAAGTTTCAACATGTTTGAGCATGAACGACTTCCTGGAAAAAAAACAAAAAACGTATCTCAGTGTTTCACAAGTCGTAGAAGTAGAGCGTGGTGTCCAAGTCTCTGGCCTTGACAGTTTATGGACCCGTAATTTGTCCCTCGGTCTCGTTAGGACTCCATCTGGTCCTCCATGGCCCTCTGTCAGCAGTCAGACACCTCGGAGGTGTTGGAGTCACTGGCGAGTTTCCTGCGTTGTCTCACTGATTTGTCCTCGTCCTGCAGAGAGAAGATAGTTGTTGTTCAATAAAGAAATATAAAGGTTCCTCTTGTGTCACCTTTAAGAGTCCAAATGTCATCTTTGCACGGAATATTTCACAACAGATCTCATTTATAGATGATAACTTTTGGATTGTCATGGCCTCTCTAGTAAAACCCCTGTGACCGGTTTCAGATCTGTAGCCCTGCTATGGTTAAAGCCTAACAATAACTAGATGAAAAAAAATACCAGTACATCACTGATTTTCAATTCCGCTTTTATTTTAGATGGACATGAGTTTTGAATCAAATACCAGCGTGTATTTTTTTAGTTTTTATGTTGGACAACACCAATCTGACTTCTCCTAAAAATACCATAAAAAGGATTTACAAAAATATCTTCATCATAATTTCTTACAGAACTTCTTTTACCCAAATCAACCAATGATGAACTCATTGAAGCAGCTTCTGTGTGGGGAACAAGAATTGTTATTAATGCAACAGTTTTCTTGCAATAATATAGATTGTTCAGCCAGAATGAATGGCCGAAGTTCATCTTGTTTATTGCCATCAGCCTTTTGGCAAATACGGAGACATTTGCTAACAGCAGTTGCCGATATTTAAATATTGTGGCTAAAGCCTAACAGGCGAAACGTTGCGCTGGATATTTGAGATATGACAACAGTAGCAAGCAAACCCGGCGCCTGACTCAGAGAAGAAGTGAAGACTCCAGCATGGCTTGAGCTGGCAATGGGTGCCAGGCGCACTTGTGTTGGTGTTCATTTAGCAGTTATTAGGCCTTAGGTGTCAAATCAGGAATAAGAAGAAAAATAGGCTGCAACGAGAGAACGGCAGAGATCTCTTTGCGATTGAAATACTAACCTTGTGATTAAAGGATCTATTCACCGAGCCGCAGCCACCCGTGAGTGAAGGTTAAATCAGAGGTTTATAAATTTTATTGGGTCTGTGCGCAGTCTGAGTGTCATGAACTGCTGATAGTTGAGTTGTTGTTTTTCTAGAATGAAGATTTATTCTTTTCTCGGTCACAAAATGGGGAATAGCCAGCAACGAACTACATTAAAAAATAAAAAAACAACATTGGCAGTTGGTATTGGCCTAATTCTTATCGTTCAAACAGCTATATGAGGCCAGAATTTCACATCCCTAAAATCATCAATGGCCTCGAAAAAGAAAATATATTTAACATGGATCGGTCACGTTGTGTTTTTGCATGTGCTTACGGTCTGAAAGACTCCATTCTGGCCCCATTCTCCAGGGGAGTGGTCCTCAAGGTCCTCTTCCTCTTCCTCCTCCCCGTCCTCTTCTCTCACAGTGTCCATCCCATCTTCCTCATACTCCGTCAGACAGTCTGACTCCTCTGCTGAATGGAAAGATTTAGTGGATATATTACGGGCAGAATTTACTGTGTGTGACTGAGCCACCTGGTTTAGATGGCACCCATAAAATGTCAGGGACATTGTAAAACCCCCACTGTATTTCACTAAAAACAGACCAGGTGAAAGCTTACACTAGTTAAATGAAAAATGATCCTGATAGGGAAACTGTACATCTATAGGAGGGGAGTGCTTTAACAAGGACTCTTAATATAGTTTAACCACTATAAAAAGGAAATGTTTCCAGGTTAGAATATTTGATTGGTAAGCGATTGTTTTACCCTCTGCAGCTACGTAGGTTTGGACCGGCTCTATCCTGGACACAATCTCTGCCAGGTCAGTGAAGTCAGCTCCTGGACACGTGCAGATCTACGAGGCAAGAAATCATCATGTACTGACATGAAAAGGTTGATGGTGAACATGCATTTAGTAATACATCAACCATATTACAAATCATTTGCAGCGAGAGCGCTGTTCTCACATCAGTTCTCTTGCTGTCGTTGTAGTCGGCTGAGCGGTGGTCCCTCAGCATGTTCTCGATAATGTCACCTCGGGCCCAGCCAGTAAACAGCAGCTTTCCGTGCTGGTAGCCCACATCCTGAAGTAGAGTAAACAAAGACAAGATCATTTTAGTAATGAAAGGACACCTTTTTAAAACAGATGATGCTTTATGTTTAAGTCAGTTTGGTAACATGAAATCAACGTTAAAACATTTAGTGCCTTTTACAGTATAAATATTCTATACTTTAAGAGGACATATATATATATATATATATATATATATATATATATATATATATATAAAAATGGGTCTGAACATTGCTGTGGTCCTAAATATATGCACATGGACTGATACCAGAGTAGCCATATCTTCTTAGCCAAATGAAGCAATCTGTGTGTTTTCATCAGAGCATTGCAATTAACATGTTTGCTACTGCAGGGTAGCAATAAAAACAACAATAATTGTGGAGTAACTCACATAGATTTCGTCGAACTTTCCAAAGTCCATTGTCTTGAAGCGGTCGATGGGCGGTCGGATGTACTCGCAGTAGGCACTCTTCTTTACCACCTCTAACTGCCGCACACAAGACACGTAGGCCAGCCGAGACTGGATCTCAGCCATGTCTGGCACCTGTGAAAGGGGAAGGTGTGAAAACCATAATTTACCAACAGACATATTTCTTCATCTACAGACTCAGCAGCAGCACTGCTACGTGTTGATGAAAAACTAAAATGCACTGCTCTATATCGAAAGGTGCCGAGTCACCCGTGGTTACCAGGGCTTTGCCGCAGCCAACCGGTACCGTACCTTTACTTTCTCCGCCCATGGATTTATTCGTTTCCACAGCAACCACCAGCCAGAGAGGGAGTCGCCGTAGTTACAGAGGTCGGTCTCATCTTGGCTTCCCACGTCGATGGCGATTACTTTTCTGGCCCCCATGTTCCTTGCGATGTCCGCTGTTTGACGTGTATCGCATTCGCACGCGTGCACAAAGACGTACCAACACAGTACGGAGAAATCCAGCCGCAGAGATGGTAAAACAGTGGATTCAGTGTTAAAGATTTTTTAGGAACCACAATGTTCAAACTAACTAAAGAGTAACACCACAAAAATAACAGTTTTATACGTTGTCAGATGCATACAAACTTTACTGGCCAACAGGCCCAGTGTCAGAGGTCACAACCTTTCTCTTTGACTCACTAGTGTCAAAGAAAGCATTGTGACAGTGTGTGTTTTTGTGGTGTTGAGCCTCTTTTTCAAAGACAGAAAAGCAGAAAAGCATCTCGGAAGCCCAACACACTGATCCAGGGTGCCTAAGGGGGACAGCAGAGGAAAGCGGGTTGATTTTACAGGGCACCCTTTGGTTGGATCAATCGTTGGGCCCAGACAGCACCGTATATCACAAATCTCAAGATTGAGCTTTCTGTTGTTAATCGCTTATCAAGTAAGGAATTACAATTGGCTCAGTCCAGAGCTTTGTGACCAAGGGCTCTTTCATCAGTACAGACTACATGCTTGATCATTACGACATCAGAGACAGACTAGGGGGAGTTTTTTAATCTGCAAACCATGTTTAAATGTCTCACCGATTCTTATTCATGTTTACATCACAGGAAAGTGTCAGTTGGGTCTAATGGATTTTTAAAAATGTTGTTTTCAGGTAATGAGGATGTATTTAATGGTTCGCAGGCAAAAAAGAACAGCCACCCCGTTCTTTCTAAACAGACTGCACACATTTTTCCTCTGGTTGAAATAGAAGCAAATTCTGAAAAATATTCGAATCAAGTTTCAGTATAATTAATGTAGTGCAGGCAGGCAGTTGAGAATCAGCATCATCATATACCGAGGGATATGTCATATCAATCATTTTACAATATGACAAATGTATGGAAACATGTATCAAATGTATGTATAATCGTCTAGAAACAAACAAACTGAAGTTACGCTTCATGAGGCTGAGCTCCTCACAAGCTTAAAATGGAAAACTTCAATCATTTATGTTTGCTTTAAACTACAAGTTGATTTGAGTCATTGTGTTGTCATCATCAACAGAATGCCAACATGATATGATCACATCACCCCCGTATGATTCCGCTGAAAGTCAATAAATAATAATGTTGAATTATTCCCCAGCTGAGCTATTTCAGAAAAGGGCTTTTTGACATGAAGGGAACCGGACTTCAAACTTCAAAGCAGGCTGGTGTCTTATGCCATAAACGGCCAAATCACAGTAATGTAACTGCACTCTTTTTTTTTTTTTGCTTTTACAAGTTTGTGACAAGCAGTCTCTATTCCCATTTTCAGTCTTACATATTTCTGACACCAAGCTGTTTGACAAACAAATAGCCTTTTCAACTTAAGTGTAACCTTATCATTGAATACACACACAAGTCCTATTTCAATACAACTCTAAACGCTAACTTTTCAACATCTAGCAAAACCCAGTTTCTCAGCGTCTGATGAAGGCCAGTCATTTCTTTGTGCTTCATTACAAAAATGTGGTTGTTTAACATGATGATAAAAATAGTTTTTTCATGATTGGTTTCAACCAGCTCAATATTCAGACAGGAAAAAAAAAATCGCTGAATACTCGTATAGTTCTCAGTTAGCATCAAGACAAGCCCATGTCTAAATACTTACCCAGCCGATTAGCAACTTGTCTGTAACCCCTCATACCAATCATCCCCGTCCCTCACTGCACCAAACCCTCCTCTAAAGGACAGGCGTTTGGTGGACATTAAGGACTGTGTGTCGGGGGGGTGGGAGGTGCCGGGTGGAGGGGGGGGGGGGGACCACCTCTACTTGCCTGGCAGGTTGTTGATGTAGCCACCGTCCATTAGCAAGTTTCCATCTTTGGGGTCGCGAGAGGCGGCAGGTACCCAGAGAGGGTCATGCTCGCCCGTACATAGCGCCACAGAGAGCCTGACACACCAGGGGGGGAAGGGGGGGAGGAGGAGGGATGAGGAAGGGGAGGGGGATAACATCTCAATAATGCTCGCTAAACATTTCAGGTTAGTTTTTCGACACAGAACACAATCCCAACACGAGAGGGAGGTCGGACAAAGGAAGGTGGCCGATCCCTGCAGAGGCTAGGAATGTGGTTCTGCCCACCTTTGGACTCCGCTGTGCCCCACTGCCAACCTCGTTACCTTGCACGGAGACCCTGCACGACTCCCGCGGAAGGTAAAAAAAGGTGAATGGCAACCATCACAGAGCACAAAGGTGTTTTGGATCTCCAAACAGTGTCACAACAACTGCCTTTCTCAGCAACAGATCCTCCATATATTTCAAGGTAAAACCAATCATGATAGCCTGAGGGAAAGAAATAGGAAAGTGTTGTAATGGACCTACTTGAATTATCTACATACACAGAGGAGGCGGAGCGGCAGATCTTGTGACAATGTTTGGGGATCCCTCACCGTGAACATGGCAGGGAAGCACCCAGCCTGCCCAGTCCTGCAGTCCAGCTCAGTGCCAGCAGGGGGCAGGAGCAGGGCGGGTGCTGCATGGGTTGGAAGGATCAGGAGCACCACAGAGAAAAGCGAGGGGCACATCTGTATGTGGGGGAGTGTGTGAATGCGCAGGAACAATTGTTCTACTGGAATAAAAGTTTGGGGAAAATATCATCACCTACAGCTTTCCATTTGATTATTGTGACTTAGCTAATAATACTAACTTATCTAATTTGTACATGCAGAGCTGCAGGATCCAGAACACATAATCTTGTATAATAAAAATAGATATACAAACTAAAAAAAGTAATACATGCCATTATATATATATAAAAAAATCTATTGATTGCCTCACAGGATTTTACACTGGCATGCACACAGAAGCAAGCAAAGCCAGGGGAGAGGACAGATGCTGCATAGGAGGTACTGAACATGTTACTGTAGGTAGAGGTGATTGAAATGAAATAGTAGCAACTTCGCGAGGACCTCCTCATGGGGAACAACCTGAAGCTCAGCCCAAAGGACGGACACACGCAGGCCCACCGAAACACACAACGGTCCACAACAACAGACAGATGTGACGTTGACATGGTGCTGCCATTCACGGTCTGCAGTAAGTGTCGACTTAAACACTGCGCTGTCCTTTAGTCAACGTGAGTACCACTGTATGCTTTTGGTACCCGATCTCACGCTGAGAACCCAGCTAAATCAGAATGACTATAAAATATATGTGAAAATAAGCAAGTACAATGGTGCTTGCAAGCCCCATCCAGAACTTTACCGTCACAAAGGAGAAGGTAAATGTTCAAATAAAGACAGTGGGCCAGAAGAAGCCCATCATGCATCGCTCCATGACCTATAGATGTGGAGACATGCATGGGCAAAACCTCCCATCTACTAAGAAAGTGAGCGGTTATGTTCACAGGTGGCGCTAAGCTAACTTTCAAAAGTCTGCTGTGTGCGAGAATAAAAAAGCCAATTTGAATGAATGACATGTACCAGTGAAGGATGAGGCACTGGGTTATAGTGGAAAAAATAGTGGATTTAGTCTTTCCTTCCAAACCATGGGCTCCCAATGTCCACCTGGTCAGGGTGGGGTTAGTCACGAGTGAGAACTCGGGAGGGAGAGGACAAGAAAGAGGAGAAGGGGAGCCGAGTGGTCGATTGGCGACGTGGCGATGGGGAGGAGGTTTTGGTGAGCAGGCGTTTCAAATCTGACCTGGGACATTGTTTACATAGCAACCGTCCACAAGCAAGTGGCCATCCTTGGGGTCGCACAGGGGAGGTAAATAGGGGGTGTAGGAGGCGCTGGCTCTAACGTATCGCCAGACGCAACCTGTCGGGAAATGAAGATGGAGAAGGAGGAACACGTCAAATGTGGGCCGGCCTCAAAGTCACAGATGGATGAGGAGAGAGAGTAAGACACAGAGAGAGAGAGAGAGAGAGAGAGGAGTGACCGCCACATAGAGTAGGAGTGCACAGGCTGCGAGGAGCAAGACAGAGAGGAGGGGGAATACAATGTCAACAAAATTATTCATTCAATGAGGTCTTCGGGTTCCGTCTGAATAAACTATTTATAGTACGATTTAAAACAAAAGCCGATTCAATCTAACTACTTAAAGGCTGATTGAGGAAGTAGGATGGACTGTTCAGAATGATTACAAGATAGCAGAATACTAACACAATGTTTACTACAAACAGGACATTATAGACTAAGTATAGTTCATCTACAATGTAAATGACAACAAATATGTTGGATGAATGACACCAGATGTGTGTAAATTAGCTTTACAATCGGAAAATTGTGATGCAGTTTGTTTGATGTGTTCATTAATCCTATTTTTTTTAAAGCGGTATAAGGTTTGTTAGACGACTAGTCGGACGAGCAAGGTGAGAGGAATGCAGGCGGAGAGGCAGAGAGGGGAAAAGACTACTCGAGAGGCAGGAGGACGGAGAAAGATGAAGACATGGAGAAAGAGCGAGTGGCCCATGATTTTAAGACGGGTTTTTTGCTGTTAAAAGTAAATACTCGTAAATGTAGAAGGAAGAGAAAACTGCAAGCAATGGAGAATGTTTTTGAGGGAAGATCTCAGTCGTGATCCTTTTTCTGATTGAATAAAACTAAAAGAACTAATGCAAACTCGTGACATAGTGTTGCTTACACCCATTCAAACGAATGGAGACAAAGTGACATATTTTGAATAGCGTCATGCCAGGGTTGTTTGACAAAAGCACACCAGACAACAACTACAGAAAGCACGGAATGGGTTTGGGTGAGCGAAGATGTCATTAAGGAGCAATGAGAGAGAGAAGCAGGGTGGAGTGTTCTGGATCCTACATGTTGAACCGGACATTGGAGGGAAGTCTTTGGGCAGCAATGTAACGTCTCTCTTTATGCAGACAGACCTGATGGAAGTGGCAAATATAGGGCTTCATCTGGGAGTTTTAGACACATATGTGAAAGAATGATGTATCTACAGTCCAAAAAATGAGATACACAAAAAGGAAGGAAAGAAGGAATTGTATATAAACTAGTGTAGTAAAAGGGACAGACGATAGGAACGACGGGGAGGAAAAGCTTTGCTCCAGCAGGTAATTCATACACATGCCGGGATACAGACATAAACACACCCCTCAAATCCAGTAATCAGCCTGAATTAGGAGAGAGCCCCAGAGAGCAACCAGCAATGGCTGCATTTGATGTGCAATGCTGTCATTTGTTTTAGCATGTAATTATGGCATCGGAAATCACACACTGGATTTGCAGGGTTTGTTAGAATAGATCTACATTAGCTAATGTTAGTGATAGTGGTGTTAGTGGGGCATTTCTAACGCATGTCAAACACAACACAGGTTTTATTACTTCAGTCAATACAAACAAACAATGTCTTCTTCACTGTCCCGGCCTGTAACTGGCATGTTTATCGAGTAAAATCAGTGGATTTTGGACTAAAAGAAGCTATGAATTTGGCCTTAGTGGCCTCAAATACATGCAGGCCACTGACTTACTTACTGACATTAGACCCAAATTCAACTTCTATTCTTCCATAATACGATATAAATGGCTGAAGTTATTTTCCCTGATAATTGGATTAGTCATTGCATTCTACTAGTTTTAACACAATTTTTTTGTGAGAGACTTAAAAATGTCTACTTCCAGTGAAACTTGTGAAGTCCTACAACTGGTGTGGACACTGTTACACAGGCCCACTTAGAGTCTTAGTAAGTGATTTAGCGTTGGCATAATCAACAGCAGACAACACACCATCCTTACTGTATTTGGGAGAATGGCCACCGCAAACCATAAATCTCAGAGCATGAAGCTCGGTCACTCTAGACGATGCATTGGTCAGGTACATTGTGTATTCCCCAAGTACTGATACAATACTTATTAGAAAAGATTAAAAAATGTTATAGGGCCTGAAGTCACTTCTAATATATTCACTTAGCTAAAAGATTTGACCTTTTACTTCTGACTGAGTGTTGCTATTATTCCCTGATAAAACATGAAATTAGGACAATTTTGCACATTAGTTATTAAAGAGATATTATTGATTGAGCGGTGATGAATGTCGACTTAGGAATTTACACATGCCCTTCATCTTATGTGTCTTTTTTTATCTGTGTTTAAGCTTACCTTTGAGTTTCTAAAAAACATTAAGCCAATCACAGTGGTGATTTGATAAAGAGGGCAGTCGGTTCAGCGGGCACTTACCGTCCTGGTGAACACGCATGGCTGAGGCCGTGATGTCAGTGGTGACGTTGAAGTACGGCAGCCACAGGTCCTGTTGGGCACAGAGAGTATTTAGGTGCCATAAACCGTACTACTCTTTTTTCTTTTAACATTTAAAAAGAGATCATCTTTACATGTTCTGTACCACAACCCCTCACCTCGGCTTGCTTGTCCTGGAACACTTTGTAGATGCTGGTGTTAAAGGCAGAACCGGAGAACATGGAGGTGATGGGATAGGTGAGGTCCAGGACGGTTTTGAATACAGAGTTCATTGCCTGTTCATCAACAAAATACAGAGAAATCAGTCTAATGAAGTTGATTATTAATCACCTGTTCTTGTTTGAAACCATAAGGCTTTTGTTTCATATCAGTTGCTTGACACCCCTCTACAAACTGATGGAAATACATTGAAGTATAATGCTGCTGGGTAAATGTTCCATCTTAAGAGAGGAAATGCAAAACAAGTAATGTGTAATACAGTAATGCACAGAGATGTATGCGGTACCTTGGACCACTCTCTGGCTCTCTGTTTGGTTCTGACGGCACTCCTCTCCTCAGCGTACAGCGCTCCAATGAATGAGCCGATTGAGGTCCCGCCCACTATGTCAATAGGAATCCCTGCTTCCTCCATTGCTTTGATCACTCCCACATGTGAGCAGCCTCTGCAGGGGGGAAAACAAACGTTTTTTCAACAGAGGCCAGATAAATTATTACTTCATATGATCTAAACTGCACATGGTACAGAAAAAAGGGACTTGGGATGTCTATTTGGTATAAAAGAGTAGATTGTCATAATCCAAATGTACCTTGATAAGACGCGTGTGTTGCATCACACTTTGTTTGCTAACATGACAACACCACGACCTTTGAGACTCAAACTGCTCTCCCCACGTCGCTACAGAGAGTTCAGGCTGGGCCGTGCTCACCTGGCCCCCCCTCCTCCCAGCACCACTGCGATGCTGTTTCCAGTCAGGACTCGGGCCAGCCGAGAGAAATCGCTGTGCCGGTCGGCCGTTTTCTCAAACACCTTCTCATACACCTCCCTCTGAACAGGAAGAAGAAAATGTGGATTAAAATGTAGCAAAAGAAGAAAACTTTCTATGCACATTTTTCATTTTAAAGCGCCATTGCTTTACGAGTCTGTTAGTTTACAGTTATGACGGTGTGGCTAATCAATTCCCCTCACTGCTGGGGTCTACTTTCTAGCTTACATAGCATTGTACAAAATATAAGTAGTACAATTTAATGAAAAACAGCAAGAAATGACAGTATACTATGCATCGTACTATTTTACTCTGGCTGCGCCTGGAAAAGACCCTGCGGGGACACTTGAGGTGCAGATGACCCGAGCACCAGCTTCGCATGTTGAGCCACTCAACCGTCCTGGAGGGGCCCGGCCCATCCTCTCTGTGCAGGAGGACCAGCTGCTTCAGTGCCCGAACTGCTGTGTTCTCCAGCATCTGCTCCAACTGGAGGGGACGACGAGAAGGTGGACTTTGCAAAGTTTGTTTGTCACCAGAATGTTTGTCCCCCTTTCCTCTGTTAGACACACACATACCTCTCCCAGGGTGGGTTCCTGGTCGCCCAAGCCGACAATGAGGATGCAGTCAGCTTGCCGGATGCAGCGCTGAGTCCACGGGGTCATGCTGTTGTCAGTCTGGTAGAGGACGATCCGGTTGATGTCCTCCTGCTGGGCCAGCCAGCCGGAGAGACGGTACTCATGGATACTGATGGACACAGGAGGAACGCAGGGATGAGTTTAAGGAACAGGGGCTTACCAGGTACCTGACAGGCACCTACAGTGACTGTGGAGAATGCAAAGTGACAGGGAGTCAAAACAAATATAACAGAATAAGATTTTTCACTGGAAATGATATTACTTAATACACACACACACTTGAATGGGGAAAAAAATAATGTGAAAAAGACTTAAGAGCGAACGCAGCTTGAAAGGTTTTGTGCCTAATGAAACAGAGTTGTTGTTAAACTGACCTGTCCAAAGCTGACGCGCCCAGCCGCTCTCTGATTATTTCGCTGGTCAATAGCAGAGTGGGGCCTGCGAGTTAGAGAGACAGACAGAAGACTGAGGCATTGTAAAAGGTATGAATACACCAACTGCAAACCGTCCATGTGTATTCCAAACTGTACTAGTGAGTAATGTATGTTCATAGTATAAAACTAAAACAGAAATTCAGCAATCCCAGATTGTTTTTAAAAGACAAATGAAACCTCTGCAGGCCTACCGATGGCACTGAGGGCATGGCTGAGCTCCAGGTTGAATGCATTGATGGGCACATCGTCACACACAGGCAGGACAGCCACAGTGGAGAGGTTGCTGGCGGGGTTGGTGACATCAGCACTGGGCGTCATGGTGGGCAGACTCAGGGCTGAACCTGGAAGACAGAACCAGTGGTGTGTTGTCCTTTAAACGGATCGGATTGACTCAGAGGCGGGTGGCACGTTTTTTGAGAGCGTATCATCGCCTCACCTGAGAAGGGCCCTCGACCCTGCTGAAGGTTCCCCAGGATCTTCTGTCCTAACAGGTGGATCAACCTCGTCACAACCTGAAGAGACATCAAGCATTAATACCGTTTAAGCTCCACACACAAACGCATCGAGGGGAAGGGCACGGACGGACCTGGGGATATCGTCTTTTGATGTTGTTGAGCGTCCCCTCGGGCAGTTTGACGAGCTCTGTGTCTCTCACAGCGTGGACAGTGGTGGCTCTTGGCTGTCTGGTCAGAGCCTCCACCTAAAGAATGAAAGTCCACCATGACATGTAACTATGGTAAAAAGTAGAGGAAGAGCTGAACCAAATTCCACAATGGAATGGTAGAAAGTTAAAAGCATGTCTATGCAAATGAATAACTATGACAACAGACACTGATAACATTTGAAAATCTGAATATCTCAAAAGAAAAAGGTATTTGGTTGAGCCTTGATAAATATAGCAATAAATAGATGATCAACATTTCAAATAACAATATTGGATTTGTCATTAAAGTCAAAATAGTGCAAACATGTTTGTGCACAATTCATGTCTGTCCCAACTGATGATGTAGTATACAAAATAGATCTTGTTTTCTGGAATATTGATATATTCTTACTGCAACAAGCAATTCAAATACGCTGAACTACTCTCATTCATATTTTGTTTTGATAGCAGAGGTTTTGTTTGCATACGGCCAGAGACTGAGGGGAAAGACTTGTTCTCACCACTCCAATGAGGTCTCCTCTGCCGTATTCCCCGACAAGCTCTTTCTTTCCGTTGGTCTTGCGGATGACTGAGCGCAGACGTCCGTTCAGAACAATGTATGTGCAGTCTGACTGGTCGTCCTGTCTGTGGACGTGACGAGAAAGTAACAGATGAGCAAAGATGTGAAATAAAAAAAGGCCGTTGACCAATGAGCTAAATATTTGTTTTACCTGTAGAGGGCTCGGCCAGCCTCCACGGCCATCCAATCAATGGCAAAGTCCATCTGCCTGACGAACGGAGACATGCGGATGGCCACTGTGTGAGCCGCACTCAGCACCACACTGGGCTGCTCCCTCATGATCCTGCAGGGGGCAGCAGGCAGCACAGTCAGGAGCAAGTCGTCATATTGTTGGCAAGCAGATGACTTGAAGCGGAATCAGAATGGTTCAAGCTCATTCGGGGGAAATTCAATCATCGTCACTCCTGACTCCCCCTGTTGTCTGATGTATGATCTGGTAAATTCTGTGTTTTGTATTTTTGTATTTATGTGTCACAGTGTACACCGTGAACAAGACAAATACCGGAAAATATTTTGTGATGATCAAACATCAATAAAGAAAAGAAAGCTTCCATTGGAAATTGAAAAGGCTTCAGATGATGTCTAATTGCGTTGTAGGAGGTTTAGTGGGACATTCAAGGCAATGAACTCACTCGTAGAAGTTTGACTTTGAGATCTTGAGGTAAGTGCAGTCGCGAATGGCCTTGATGGTGAAGATGAGGGGTTCTCCAGTGAGCACAGCGAGCTGACCCACCATCTCCCCCGGGTGGGTCACAAACAAGCAGACGGCTTCCTTTTTGTCAATCATCCGCTGGTAGACGTGGAGACAACCAGACATGACAAAGTGCAGACTCACGTCCTAAAAGAGAGGAATGAGAGAACACAGAAGGAGGGGGAGTAAGGAGGGGAGGATTAGAAAAAAACTTGGTTTTATCTGACATCACTACCGCTCCTACTACTAAACTATGCTGCCCTACAAAATAAAGCTCAATAATGATATGTTTAGAAATGTAAGACATTAATCTAAAATTTCTGACATAAAGAATGCATGCAAGAGAGGAATCTGAGTCATATGTAATGCATATGCATTTACCCTTCATTTCAAGGTCTCTGTGGGGCAACAGCTCATTTTAAACAACAACTTCAGTATGTCTCAACTGCAGTATGTCTTGGGCTTTAAGTACCTGGTCTCCCTGGCTGGCTAAGACCGCTCCTGCTTTTGCGTGGTGCAGAGTCACTTTCCCATTTAACAAGGATGAGTCCTGGATTTAAGAAGAAAGAAAGTCAAAGAATCCAGTTAAGCAGTAACCAAAAATATCATGCTTGATATAGTTACACCAACATGATGTTTTGAAATATTAGGTTTAGCAAAACCAACTCGAGAGCCACTCAGAGGGTTTACCACATATTACTCAAACGTCTGTGTGCAACTCGCAATGGAAACTGCATGAGATGGAAATCTGCACAGATGTTGCAAAGAGAAGTTGAGCAATGTTAAGTGTTTTGGCTACTTCCAGTTCAGCTCAACTCTTTTTTCATCCCATTATTTTTTTTAAGTGTGTATTTAGCATAGATCTTTTTTTTCTCATATACAACCAAAACAGAAACAAAAAGTTCTTCTGTCAGCGATTCACTCATCATCTACAGACCAGGTCCAGTTCCTCTAGAGTGGCTCTGCTGACTGACCTCTTTTCCACACCATCATCTGTCTGCAGATGCTCCTGGGTGATTTGAGACAATGTGCTCACCCATGTGAAGAAAAAGCAGTGCTATTATTTCTTAATCCATGAGATATATACTATATACTGCACGACCGACTCTCAGGGATTAAGAAAGGGGCGCACTACTAAAAATCACCTCCTGTGTATGAGGATTTTGTGATGCACTACCTTTAGATCGACTTTAGTTTTCAGCTAAAAATGTAAACGTAATTGGCGGGTGTGGAATGGGCAAATGTAAAAGGCCTGGAGATGATTGACCCAGAGTTGGACAGCTGTGATCCGAAAGGATGGGACTGATTGCGGGACTGTAATTTGAGACGCCGACCGTTTTTTTTCCTTCTTTTTACCGGTGACATTGACCTGTAGGGGGACACGCGATGGGGCGGTCCCTTCTCTAATTGCATGCCTCTTGTCAGGACGTGGAAATGTTTGCTGTGCATGTACGCTATGTACTTACATAATATTTACTTTTCATGAATTGCTGTACCATCGATGGGGTTGGGCAATAGCTATGTTATTTATCGTGTCATGAACTGGCGTGCCATTTATTAGTTATTCTGTATCCATAGAATTGTTAGGCTGAATATTGTACTATGATTTACTGTGCATTTAAGGTGCTATAGAACTGACGTGTTGTGCACTTTGGGGTACTGTGTTGTTGGGGTGGTTATAGTAGCCTTGCTACCGTCATGGTCATGTATGTGAGCAGGTACGGCCCAAACCAATAACGCCTCCTGCCCAGAAGTCAATGCTCCCTTTTTTTAATGAAAATAATTATAATAAAAGTATTTTTCCAAATCCTTCAGTCTGGTGGTTGTGCCCCCCGGAGATCTAAACTAAAAGGGCCCAGTTAGGAGCCCTATACAACACAAGGTTAAAGACAGCATCTCATAAATCTCCTTCCCAAACTATCTCTTGACGATTGATTTGAGGAGATCCGAATCGACTGCTGTTGATGATAGGATAATGGATTAAGGCGGTCAGCGGGTTAGGCCTTGCCAATGCAGTGCGGCTCCCCCAGTCCTCACTTCCGGCCCAATCAGCTCACCAAGAAGGAAAAGTTCTTCAACCCCCTTGGATACCACTTGCGTGTTACAAGAGCATTAACAGCTTTTGTGCCCACAAGGGCCCAACAGTCCTGACGATCCCCGCAAGAAAGGACCGAGTGGCGTTGAGGCAAGACTCGAGGAAACCCAGCAAATCCTATCAATGCACAGTAATGTCTGGGCAGAAGATTAGCATGTGTTTTGTTGTCTACTATTTTGTTTAACAAGAGATTGTGTAGGTTTATGAACTACGTGATTGGCTGATAAAGTTAACCACTATCGTGCCTTACTGTTCCGCAGTGTTCTGTTTTGCTTTGAGTATTTACTTTCTTTTGATTTACTAACCCAATACACCTGTTCCTCCACACATATAGTTACCTACGGACAGAGGTTTATGCTCTTCCTAGACGAGGACCATACAGGCCAGCTCGTGGCCACACGTGGCCTGCCATGTGGTTGGTAGCTTAGCTTGCTAGCTCCCTTCCGCAGCTCTCTCCTTATCACACACACACACCACCTCCTCCTCCTCCTCATGCCTGAATGAATCTTTGTAGCTGTGTCTTAAAGTCGGTAGGCCGCATCCTTAAGGACGCATTCGTCGACCGCATACGTCATTTCCGCTGCAAGTCAGCTGTCTCATTCCATCGGCTCCTCTGAACAATTTGAAGGACACATCTGACCTATCCTTTGCGGCCCATCATATCCCAGCATGCAAAGTCAGGTGATCACACAGCGCGGAAGAGCGGTATAGGATTCAGTCGAATATCTACCGATATAAATGTTAATATAATAACATCATCTCACCTGAACCCCTCCCCCCGGGTCCACGTACTGCTTCTTATGAACATCAATGTACAAACACACATTTTTAACAAATACACAAAGAGCAGCTCACGTTACCGGGAGCCGCTGCGCCGTTAACGGCAGCTCGTAATAGTAAAAAGGCACATTAACTTAACTTTAACACTTTAACGCTGTGACGGTTTTATATATAGTTTATACTTCATATTTATGAACATAATCGGATCAAAGTGAGCTCAGGCAGGCAAGTTATAGTCCTGAAATGTCACTTTCTAAGTCAGTAACGTTACAGAATAAATACACAACGAAACTGAGTTTGCTTTGCTCCTTTTGTTTTGTGGTGTGATTATAAACTAAATGTAGTTGTGTTTTATGGAGCAGTAGGAGGCAGCATCAAGCTGAAGTAGAACGATGTGTGTGGTGACATTTAGCTACTGTAGCTTTGACATATTCTGTAATATCTTTATCTCAGTTAAAATATTCTATGCAAGAAAAAAATTGTCTGCATACTAACAACAGTGGCCATCAATACTATTGATGTCAATGATTTAATTTCACACTAGCTATTAACAAAACAACCCCTAGGCCGTGTCCAACACTATAATTACTACTGTAGAATCAGAAAGAAATGAAAAGCAAAATATAAAACCTCCTGTTCAGTTACTCACATTAACAGTGTCACCACATAGCGCGCGTGACTCCTGCATGGCAATGAGGCAGAAGGCCGTCATGGAGGCATCTGAATCCATGCCGCGAACATCCCCCTACACATGTAGACACAAACGTGTTGATTTATATAAGGTTTTGGCCAATGGAATGGTTTCCATCTTATTATTTAGTTATCTGTGTTAAGAAATCCGTTCACATACAATCATCTCTCCGTGGATCACACGCCCTTTTTCTACAAACACGCCATCAGGTTGCTGCGTATTGAGAATCAGATACTTTATAGCGTCACAGATGTGATTCTTTCGCACAGACACCAGACTGTAGGCCATGGAAAACACCTTGGCAACGTAGGCTGTCAGCCTGAGAGAAGAGAGGAGACGCTTAGTTTCCTTTGTTTACACATGCAATACACCAACTTCAAATAGTCTTAGAATTTAGTTTAAAGGAGGGTGTGGAAACATTTCAATGAACTGGATATTTGAAAGCCTCACCAGGTGCTACTTATTTTTTCAGAGGGGAACACAGCAAAAGACCCATCACCTTTAAGGTATTTTAGCTCGTTCTGGTAGCCTGAACACAGACAAGAACATACAACCAGTTAGTGGAGCTCTGTTAGCTTTTCCTCCTGATACAAGTCAGTCTTTTAAATGAATCGGCTGGCATATGTTTTTGTTTATAGTTCATTTTATATAGTCTATGTATTAGTTTTCAGACCATCTTCTTTGGTCTGTGAGGTCGTAGTCTGCAATGTCAGGAACCTTAAATCCCATCAACAAGATTCACAGTATCCGTGGCAATACCTACCGGTCTGGAGCCCAGTTATCTTTTTCTCCTGATACAAGTGCTTTTTTTAAATGAATGGCTGGCATAGGTTTTTGTTTATAGTTAATTTTATATAGTCTATGTATTAAATCCCATTAACAAGATTCACAGTATCCGTGGCAATACCTACCGGTCTTGATGTGTTCGAGAGCTTTGTTACGTTTGTCAAAGCCCACAGTTTCCCACTGGTTGGTTCTGTCCAAATACGTTGTTGCAATGACAGGTAGGGTCATTAAGATCATGTTCTGCTCTCCACAGCCTGAGGGTTGTCGGATCAGACTATCCATAGAGGACCCGCCAACGGCGCTCTCCACCATTGTAGAAACTTGTTCTCTCCCTTTATTCACACACAGAACAAAAAGATGTAAATGTTAGAAATCAACATGCAGAAACATCTAAAGAAACATGCAACGGTTCCCCACAAGCAGTGAGGTGGTAATTTCTCAATAGGAATGATGCCAATTTACAACACAATTTTACAGACACTATGTCACATGGCGTGCCCAAATATAGGATCACATCTCACCTGTCACAGAGACCTGTGTGATAGTCGGTGTGCCCGGAATCAAATCTGCCTCAGGAATTCTACTGTTGAGAGTTTCTTCTTGTTTACCAGCTGAAGGGATCAAAGTGATAAAAACATTGTAATACCAAACTACGATGTAATATAGGTACACACACACACACACACACACACACACACACACACACACACACACACACACACACACACACACACACACACACACACACACACACACACACACGTTAACTCACCAATTCCATTTTTAGAGGGGTCAAGAGTTACACTTTGAGGAGATGTAACCAGTTCACCTCGAGGCTGGAAAAACCACCGCAAGAACAATCATTACAACTCATTACAATTACAACAACACCTGTTTTAGTGGTCGGCTGATGAGTAACAAAGTACATCTTGCTTAGTTGTGTAAGTCTTAATTTTGAAAAGGCTGATATAGTACACATATGATTTAAGATTAAGCTCCTAATGATGATGATGATGTCTGTCTATGCTGATTTAACACAGTTAGTCTCTCTCTCTCTTACCACCACCCGCAAATTCTTCCAGATTCCATCATGCAGCGACGAATCTTTCACAGCTGCTTTGACCTCCATGCGGTGTTCTCCTTCTTTCATAGGAATAACAACAAACGGCACAGAGCGTGTAGTTTGTGGCCCTATTTT